TTCCTTTTTACTTTTTTTTTTTGTTTTTGTTCCAAGCTGTTTTTCTCCCGCTCGCTCAAGGTGGACGCACGTGTGTGTTGGGGGGTTATTTCGGAGCTTCCTCAGCTCTCCGGGGAGTTAAACCTTGCCCTCCACGGCAGACTGAAATTAGCTGGGGTAGGAAAGCCTGGCTCGGGCAACCACTGCAGAGGGCAGGGAGAAAAAAAAAAAGGGGCAAAAAAACACCAAAACACCCCAAACCAAGCCAGGCTAGAGCAGGAGCGTCCTGCGGACCGTGTGGGAGGGAAGCAGGTAAGTGCTGCTCGGCAGAGGTGCCCAGGGGCGGCGGCACGTGCAGGGCAGGGGCCAGGCGCTCAGGCGGGCGCGCGGGAGCCGCTTTTCCCTCCGGTCAGGCTCGCAGCCCCCCCGCCGTCTCCCCGAACACGCACATCGCTGGGAACGAGCAGACGGGCCCCCACCGCACAGCGATCCCGGTAGCCTTCAGCCCAGCGCCTCCGTCGCGGGGCTGCCGTGTTTTTAAGGGCTGTCTTGCCCGTTCCGGGGCCGCGGCGGTGGCCGGCGGCGCCGCCTCTGCGCGTTGGCAACGCGTGGAGCCGCGGGCTGCCCTCGAGGGCTCGCTCCGGAGGAGCCTTATTTACATGCAGGGCGCCTGTTTGTGTCACTGCTGCAGCTGCCTCCTGCCGTACGGCGCCTCGCAAGGAGAATGCGGGAAGGGAGCCCTTTGCACAAGCGCGGTGCTGCGCCTCGTTAAAAATGTCTCTGCTGTTTCCTATTGCGAGTGGAAAACGTTTCAGCCGACCGCAGGAGGATAAAGTGGTCAAAAACAAGCGGCTTGGAGATCAAAATACGGCTCGGAATGGGTCTGTTCCCTCTCTCTCTCTCTCTCTCTCTCTTTTTTTTTTTAAGCTGTATGACACAGTTCTAGAGCTTGCATCATCCCCAGTTAAATCACCACGTGAAGCAATAAGAAAAGTACCAGATTTAAACAACATCTGTCAACTTTCCTGGGGCTTTAAGTTTATGTTTAAATAGACGTTTGGGTTTTTTTTAAAATATATATATTTTAAGTTAAACCTTAATTGTGGTTTTGCTCGATACAGAAGCAAAGCTCCGTGCAGTCCAGACTTTGAGGCAACGCATGCAGCCCGTAATGCTGGGGGAGCCTGCCCGGCTTTGTCTGCACATGCACCTCCTGCATATTTTTCCAGGTCTATAATCCCTGCACGCAATTAATCACTGTTGAGAACGGCCTCTCCGCAGTCGGCTCGTAGGAACTGCTCCAGCTGGGAGAGTCCTGGAACTGCCAATGTGCAAACACGGGCCAGGAATTACTGGGGCAGCAAGTGGTGTGAAGCTCTTGACCAACCCAGCGTGGGTCTTCGGCACCTCTGAAAACTGTTCTTGTGAGCCTCAACTGTTGAACTGAGAACTGTTTTTTTTTTTTTAGTTTCTGAATGACTAGTATGTTCAATGTAGTTTAAAAGTCACTAAGGCAATTGTGCTCCCAAGAGTGGGTGGTTTAATGGCTGAAAATCATATCTAAAAAGCTAGATGTTCTGGTACGGCATATTTAAATCCCAGAAAGGTCAAACCAGACTTTCATACTTGAGTTAGATTGACCCTGGCTTACTGCATGGGACTCTTTAGAGGAAGAAAGAAATCTTTCAGGGAAAAAAAAAAGACAAAAACCCAGTAAAAAAACAGACTGTTGCTCTGAATGGCCTATGGCAACTATACCACATTTTTGAAGCTATAGAATTTCTGCTTGTCCACAGTATCCCTCTACTTACCTTGCTGTTGAAAATGCTGTGCTAATTATTTTAGTGTCTGTTATCAATAAGAAGTGTTTTAATTCCTTTGGCACGGTGTCATAGCTGAAGCAAACTAGATTGAGAGGCAAAACGAAGTAAAAAATATGCAGCTGTTCTGCCAAACAATGATTGTGACTGTTTACAGCATTTTGTCTTAGGCTGACTTGTACACAGAAGCCTTTATATTGAAGGTTTTTGTGTCACAATCCATTGCTTGTCTAAGCAAACTAGATTAATAGCTTATAAAGGACAAAAGAGACCTCTAGGTTCATTTGGTCTGACTTCCTGCAGGTCATGAGACTTTAGTGCATTAGTTGCCTTTTCACATCTGAAAGATGTAGTTGAACCGCAGTATACCTGTATCGTAGAAAAAGCATGAAATCTTAATTTAAAAGTGGCCAGTGAGAATCGAGTAAGGGTTGGTAAATTGTTTTGTCTGCTTTGTTTTCAGTGATTGGACTTTGTTATATCTTAGCCTGCTTGCCTGAAGAATGCTGTATTAACAGATTTCTGTCCCTGTGCAGCTGTGTACATATTGATCAAGCAAGTATTTATCATTCCCTTTGGAGACTCGCAGAGCTCCCTCCACGGTCCATGCTTACTAATCCTGTAATTATTTTCATCATGGTTCCCCATTAATATTCTAGTTATTCAGCATTTTGATCAGGGCAACCAGAAGAGGACAGAGCATACCATCTGCGATCCTGCCAGCGGTGAGAGCATTCCCATCCGGGATTCCTGTTCTGCATGCAGGGATGACGCCGGGCGGGTACGAGCTGGTTTTCCAGAGCTGCTCCTCCTC